AGGGCTGAGACCGAGTCCTGCAGCTGACAGTGCATGGGCATTGCTGTGCCAATAGAAAGTCCCAGCAACCTCAGTTGGGGCCTCACGTGGATGCAGTAGTCTGCCCACATGCTGTCAATTGCAGGATTAGGGCCTAAGGTTCTCACCCCCAACCCTCCAAGAAAAAGGGTTGGTTCTCCGCCTCTCTTCCCCACAGAAGAGCAAAATGACAAATTTCATGGGAGAACAATAACTTGTACAAACACACATTTTAATGGTAACCATTAACCAAACAGTGCCCTTGAAGGGAATGATTTTTTCCCCCAGGACATACCTGAAAAGCAAAATGTAGAGCTTCCACTTGCTTTTTAGCTTTTGGGAGCTTTGCTTTGTTAATATTGCTGTTTAGTGCTTGAACTGCAGAAAGGTTCAGTCCCTCTCAGCCAGCTGAAACAAGGAGCCACTCTGCAGACTAAACCAGTGAGGACAGCAGAGGGAGGAGGAGGAACCAGAAAGCACACAGAGTTAGGAGAACAGGAGGCTCTCGTCCCCTAGTGCCCCTCCTCTACTTGCGCTACATTGATGACATCTTCATCATATGGACCCACGGAAAGGAGGCCCTTGAAGAATTCCACCTGGACTTCAACAATTTCCACCCCACCATCAACCTCAGCCTGGACCAGTCCACACAAGAGATCCACTTCCTGGACACTACAGTGCAAATAAGTGATGGTCACATAAACACCACCCTATAACGGAAACCAACTGACTGCTATACCTACCTACATTCCTCCAGCTTCCATCCAAGACACATCACACGATCCATTGTCTACAGCCAAGCCCTAAGATACAACCGAATTTGCTCCAACCCCTCAGACAGAGACAAACACCTACAAGATCTTTATCAAGCATTCTTAAAACTACAATACCCACCTGGGGAAGTGAGGAAACAGATTGACAGAGCAAGACGGGTACCCAGAAATCACCTACTACAGGACAGGCCCAACAAGGACAATAACACATCACCACTGGCCATCACATACAGCCCCCAGCTAAAACCTTTCCAGCACATTATCCACGATCTACAACCTATCCTGGAAAATGATCCCTCACTCTCACAGACCTTGGGAGGCAGGCCAGTCCTCGCTTACAGACAACCCCCCAACCTGAAGCAAATACTCACCAGCAACTACACACCACACCACAGAAACACCAACCCAGGAACCAATCCCTGTAGCAAACCTCGTTGCCTACTCTGTCCCCATATCTACTCTGGCGACACCATCAGAGGACCCAACCACATCAGCCACACCATCAAGGGTTCATTCACCTGCACATCTACTAATGTTATATATGCCATCATGTGCCAGCAATGCCCCTCTGCCATGTACATTGGCCAAACCGGACAGTCCCTCCGCAAAAGAATAAATGGACACAAATCAGACATCAGGAATGGTAACATACAAAAGCCAGTAAGTGAACACTTCAATCTCCCTGGTCATTCTATTACAGATTTAAAAGTCACTATCATTGAACAAAAAAACTTCAGAAACAGACTTCAAAGAGAAACAGCAGAACTAAAATTCATTTGCAAATTTAACACCATTAATCTGGGCTTGAATAGGGACTGGGAGTGGCTGGCTCATTACAGAAGCAGCTTTTCCTCTCCTGGAATTGACACCTCCTCATCTATTATTGGGAGTGGACTACATCCACCCTGATTGAATTGGCCCTGTCAACACTGGTTCTCCACTTGCGAAGTAACTCCCTTCTCTCCATGTGTCAGTATATAATGCCTGCATCTGTAACTTTCACTCTATGCATCTGAAGAAGTGAGGTTTTTACCCACGAAAGCTTATGCCCAAATAAATCTGTTAGTCTTTAAGGTGCCACCAGACTCCTTGTTGTTTTTGTGGCCTTGCAGTAAGTGCACATTGTTGGTTTTATTGGAAGAACCAGATCCCTTTCGCCTAAATTTTGTGGGTTTGTTTTTCCCTTCCTACCCCTGCTGTTCTCAATGGTCTCTTCTGCAGGCACAGCCTGAAGAAACCAGAGATCTGGCCATGTGGTTTCAAACAATGTCCTCTCTGCACCTGCTTTGTGCTTCGTACTCTCTACAATGGCATCCACAGCTCTCGGGCTTGCCGCTACACAGAGCCAGTAAGAAAAAAAAAGGGGCATGAAGTTTTAATTTCACATTTTCATGGCACAGTGTTTTTCACGTCTTCTGTTGAAATGTGGATGACTATGAAACCTAGATGTACTTAATGATTAGGAAGATGAGCTTCTGAGCTACCTTCCGCCATTTGGGTTTTCACTTCTGTACTGGCAAAATGATCCATCTTATAGTGCCTGGGAGAAATACAGGCACTCCAGCTTAATGGTCAAACTCCCAGACGAACGCTTTCTTGTTTTGTGTTTTAAACATGCCACACTGTCTACTTTCAGTCCAGTTTGTGATTTAAAAGAGCAGTAAAAATGAAGCCAGTGAACAAAAAAAAAATACCCTACATGTTTGCATCATGTCAGTTGTTTTGATTTAAATAATTAAGGCAAGAAAAATTCACTACGACAATGATTTTTTTATTGTAGTTCATTATTGTCTGCTGATTTATGTAGCACCAACAGTAATCTCCTAGGCACTTCCTGGACAGATATGAAGACAATGTCCCTGCCCCATTGCTCTTACAATCTAGCCAGACAAGAAACAAGCGCAGGGGAAAGGGAAGCATCAAAAAGCTGTGTGATCAAAGGGTGAAGTTAAGCTCGCATCTCATTTTCATGATTTTTGCATTCCAGTCGTCTTTACAATGGGCACATCATCTAAAGGGGGATTTAGGGAGGGAATTCTGAATGGTCCCTTTGTCCCTATGAAGAAGGTATTAATGGGTGCTGCACATGCTCTGTGAGAGAAGTATATACCTTTTAAGAATTAGAAGTGGACTGTGTAACTTTGCCCCTTTCAGCAGATCAGAAAATAATTTTCAGTGGGGAGATAGGTTCTAATCTCAATGCATCTCAAGACCTCCCTATAGTGACACACAAAATGCTCTAAAGATCAATTAACAAAAATATAAAGAAAGACTGGCTTATGATAAGATTTCACTTTACAAGGATAAAGCCTAGAGAGCTGATTCTAATTTTGTAGTCTTCTATCACATTCTCTCATTCACCTGTGTCACAGTTGCAGGGCGAGCTGCGCTTTAGACCCCTTAGTCCTTCTCAAGTGCACCTTGCTGGTGATAGGTTTCACTCCTCTCTGGCCAGAACCTTGTCGTTCAACCACTTTTAGACCATGTCTCTGGGCTGAAGCCAGGGAGGTGGGCATTCCCCAATCAATAGTTCCTCTCAAGAAAGAGATCTTGGAGTCACAGCGCAAAGTTTTCTGAAAACTTCAGCTGAATGCACAGCAGCACTCATAAAGGCTTAGTGTGGTAGGCACTATTAGGAAGGGATAGAAAATAAGACAGAAATAATTGTAATGACTCTATTATAAATCCATGGTGTGCCCACCTTGAATACTGTGTCCAGTTCTGGTTGCCCATCTCAAAAAGGATATAATTGAACTGGAAAAAGGGACACAAAGGTGATCAAAGGTATGGAAAAACTTCCATGTGAGGAGAGACTATAAAGATTAGAGCTTTTCAGCTTAGAAAAGAGATGACTAATAGGGGATATGGTAGAGTTCTATACATTTATGAATGATGTGGAGAAAGTGAATAAGGAAGTATTATTTACCTCATCACATAACACACAAACCAGGAATCACTCAATGAAATTAATAGGCAGCAGGATTAAAACAAACATAAGAAAGTACTTCTTCACATAATGCACAGTAAACCTGTGGAAGTTGTTGCCACACCAGTGGTGGTTGTGGAGGCCAAAAGCATAACTGGGTTCAAAAAAGAATTAGAAAGTTCATGGAGGATAGGTCCATCAATGACTATTAGCCAAGATGTCATGACCCTAAATCTCTGACTGCCAGAAGCTGGGTGGGAAAGATGGCTAGATCACTCCAATTGCCCTGGTCCGTACACTCACCCTGAAGCTCTAGTGTGGCCACTGTCAGAGACCGGATACTGGGCTTGATGGACCATTAGTCTGAACCAGCATGGCAGTTTTTAAGGTCCCTTAAGGGAACAAGAGAACATATTTTGTTCATTGTTTGATCCCCTCTCCTCACCCCCTCCCTCGTTTTGTCATCCATTCCCCTCCCCTGCCAGGCCCCCCCTCCCCCCCCAAACAGCCTCCTTTGATTTAGGTCTATGCAGTCAGACAGAATAATATCAAAGAGATAAACTGAGTTACATATACTAATCCCTCATTCTCCACAACCTGCTACCTAACTAACATTACACTTGCTTGTGACCTTGAAGGTTTTGAAAGCTTGTTTGTCTCATGGCTTTCCACCCCTAGATCTGCTGTAGGCAATTTTCCCATCAGCAGCCATCCTGAACATTCCACCAAGCTTCTAACGCAGGGACTGCTGAGGACCATCTGCTCTTTTCATGTGCCTTTCTGCTGATACCAAAATCATTTCCATCTGACCACTCCATGCTTTGCATGAATAAAAAACCTTTCGGGCTGCTGCTTCTAAAGTAGATTTACCTTCAATCACCATTTATTAAATCTCCATCCATTAAAAACCATAGCTTGCAGGAGCTGTGTGCATTAAGCCTGATTATAGAGTCTGTAGAGAAGGAGGGAGGGGGACAGCAGTTTGTACCAGTGCATTTCCTTGTTTTTCTGCTTCTCTAACCTGGCTTGTAACACTTGTAACAGGGTGCACATCAGAGCAGGACTCTCATGTTCTTGGGCTTTGATTTTGGTTGTACACAGCTGTCTCTTTTTTCTGTTTTAGCTGTAATTTGGTGATCTTTGGCTTCAGTGAACGACAGCTCAGACTATATGAATACATTTAGAGTTTCCCTTGGTGGCAGGGTGCTAGGTCACACATGGAGGGTAAGGGGCAGGGAACTAAAAAAGGAAGAGGAGGGAAGCTCACAGGTTCCTTAAGGAGGATGAGTGGCTCCTTCAAACGCACTTCACTAAAGGGCTCGGCATCTGGATCTCAAAAGGTAAGTCAGCAGTTATCTGAGGGATGGAATAGGAGGCAAATGGCTGGAGAAATGTTCTGCTCCCTGCTCAGATTTATTTCAGAGCCTACACCGCATAAAGGAGAACAATTCTCTCCATCCCACTGTATTCTTGTCTCTTACGAAGGCAGAAATCATGTTAATTGCATTGATTGTGCCAATGACTATTTTTTTTCCCGTGGAAGTTATTTTTCTCTTCTACCTTCCCCTCCCCCCCACCCCATCTCTCTCACGCACACACTGTGTTTTAGGCAACTAAGATGAGGAAAGTTTTTCATGTAAAAGGGTTCGACTCTGATGCTATCAAAAGTGTGAAATAATTTCTTAATAAATATTGATTATTTTGTGCTGATGCTAAATCAATATGCAATTGATGGGGAGACTGATATATTAAAGGGATTTTTATATGATTCATGGGGTGAAACGCATGCAGATATTATAAGAAATATAATCAATAGTTAGATTATGTACTGTGTACACTGTAGTATGTGAACTGAAGAAAAAACAAGAGCTGGATGAAATGTCCTGGTGATATCTCTAAGTTCAGCTTCTCAGTGTGATTAACTTGCAGCTACAGAATTAGCTTTTAGAGTCAATGGTGAGGGATGATGCATTTATTTTTTTATGCTTGTAGTATTTTTTAATACACTTTTTGACTGGATTGGCGAGCTAGTTTGGAGCAAATCTGAACTGCCTCAAACCATGATATCCTAGGGTTTCTGAACTCAAATGGAACTTTTCTCAATGGTTGAATCAGTTTAAGTCATGAAAAATATCTTCCTCCTTTCCTCTAACCCAGCAGCTTTTCCCTTTAAACCAACTGCTGCTGCTGCTGCCTGCTGAATTTCAGATGCATAGAATTTGGTAAAGGAGTGAAAGTAAGTCCAGTAGTGGACAGAAGTGGGAGAAATTGGGTTTGGAGACTTCTTGGAGGAAGGAGATCATCAATACAAATAGAGAGACAAGGTGGGTGAGGTAATATCATTTATTGGACCAAGCTCTGTGTACGCGTGAAAGCTTGTCTCTTTCACCAAAAGAAGTTGGTCCAATAAAAGATATTGCCTCACCCACCTTGTCGCTCTAGTATCTAATATCAACATGGCTACAACTACACTTCAAGCAATACAGATAGAGGCAGCTAAGTAGGTATGAAAAGTGTCCTTGTTTAGAGCCGTCTTTCTGTGTGTTGGGTAGTGTATCTTGTAGTCAGTTGTGGATTCTAGACAGGATGCTTGGCCTAGGAGAGCCCCACAACAGCAGACAGACTTCTTGCAGTTGAAATCAAGGGCCTTGGTTTATGGAATTTTGAGAACCATTAAGGGCCATTTAATGGAGGGAGGGATAGGTCAGTGGTTTGAGCATTGGCCTGCTAAACCCAGGGTTGTGAGTTCAATCCTTGAGGGGGGCCATTTAGAGATCTGGGGCAAAAATCTGTCTGGGGATTAGCCCTGCTTCGAGCAGGGGGTTGGACTGGACTAGATGACCTCCTGAGGTCCCTTCCAATCATGATATTATCTGTATTGTGGTAAGACCTAGAGGCCCCAGCCCCATTATGTTAGGCGCTATAGAAACATGCAACACAGAGATGGTCCTTCCCTGAAAGAGCTCATAGTCTTAATGTAAGATGAGATAACAAATTAGAACAAGAACCAGACAATCCTGATCAGTGTGATAAGCTGTGGCCACAGTATGCCAGCTACCTAGTCATTGTCAAGATTTTTTTGGAGGCATCAGAGCAGAGAGGAGTCTTTGCAGTAGCATTTTGAGTGGCTGTTTAGTAGGATAGATCTGAGAGATCTTGTACAAGAGAAAACAGCAAATTTTAGACATGAGCTGTGCGGATCTAGAAAGAGAGGGCTGAGGTGAAAAATGATGTCCAGGTTATAGTCCTGATTACCAGCGAGGACCATGGAATAGGATTGGGTTCTTCAGGGCAGTTGGTACTCAAGTGTGATGCCTCCCAAACATGTCACATTGAGAGAGAAATCTGAGAAGAATGAAGCCTTCACATCTGGGTTAACTTTACTCTGTACCGATATGTACAAAACTGTAATAGAAGCAAAACAACATGTTACTGTATCTATTCAAACCTAGCAAAACTATTTACCATCCCAAGCATAAAAATCTACATGACAGGCCTTGCCATTATAATTGCCTATTATTTGTGTATAATAGTGCATCAGTTGGGATCAGATCCTCATTATGCTATGCACTGTGCATACACAAAGTTAATGGTGAGCAGAAGTTTTGGTAGACTGATAAAGTTGAGGGTATTTGCTGACTAATATGGTATCATAGTGGAAAAGGAAAAAAGTGAATAAAAAGAAAGTAAATTTTTCCCCTTTGCATCATTTTCTATGCCGATGCTCTTTAAACTTGCAAAATTGGTAAGGGAAATCCACATCCACTGTTTAGCAAATGTCTTTTACCACAGGTGCATTCAACATTTTTTTTAAAGCCATTGAGCTCATCTCACTATTACAAAACATATAATTTCATTTCCCATTACTAAAAGCTCAAGATGAAATACCCAGATGAAAATAGCTTCTTCTGACTGTGTTTATCATAGGTGTTAGATTAAACCAATCAAGGATAGAGGGAAAATACAATGTGATTTGACTTTTCCTAACAAAGTTGAATTAGCAATGGGCAGTGCTACAGTTATAATACTCTAAGAAGCACTGTGAATTTTAGGATTTCTGATTTTTCATTGAATTTCTTTGTACTCTCTTTTAATGTTTATTGTAGGCAAGTTATGACCTGTCTTTCAAGAGAAAGAATCACTTATCACTGTTTGCTAAAATTTTCCTTGATTTATATGAAAGCATGACTTATACTGATGTGCTGAACCTGCCAAGAGAGGCTCAAGTGGGTTCAACTGGCTCATGGCGGCAGATGGAACATTATTCCACCAGCATACAAGGGAGGTGGAAGTGGCTAAGAGACCAAGAGATCTGGGATATGGGATGAAATGTCCTGAGGTAGGAACTCTGGGTGCGACTACAGCTAGGGGAAAAGCTGAAACCAGGAAGGGGTTAAATTTAACTCTGGTGTGGATTTAAAACTAATCTCAGATTTTGGTCCTAGGCAGGTTTTTTTTTTTTTAAAAAAAAATGGGATTTAGTTGTTTCAGCCTGAGGTTGGAAATCACAGCTATGAAATGACATAACTTTTGTGAGGTGGTTGAAGGATATTCCTTATAAATCTACATATTTCACTTGCCACTGCAGGGACTGTCTTTTTTTCCAGTGTTTGTGCAGTGGCTAGCACAAACACTGGAAAAATGGGGTCCTGGTCCATGACTGGGATCTTCAGCGTTACCGCGATACACATAAATAAAAATAGTAATAAGAAAATGCCCAGCAGCTGTACTCAACAATTTAGGACAGAAAGTGAAGAGGACTTCTGTGGAATAATATCCATACAATAACTCTTTACTTATATCACTGTAGCAGAACTTGTTCCAACTTCTTATATCCAGCCAAAGGGCCAGATTTTGATACCCTTATTCATGAAAAGCACTATCTTACTCCACAAGTGGTTCCACTGAAGATACTATGCAATGTATCTTCATAATCTACCCCAAAAGTAAATATCCTGGGTGTGGCTTAAGAATGGCAGTGCCTAGGCAAAGGAATTCTTGTTTTGTTGTGTTGGATGATTTCACTGTACTTAAATGTTAAAATTTCCAAGATTATCCTATGAGGAAACATCTTATCTTGATGTGCAGCTGTTTGCATGTAACTCTCATTAATGCAATTATGCTAGTAAATTCCAGTGCCATGTGTTGACACTATACAGTGCACTTATCTATATATCCCATTCCCACTGACTTGTTCTAAAAATATTTCAAATGTACTGAACATGATCCCTTTCCCCTGGCTCTTGGGATATAATTATATTACTGAAACTCTGCTTCTCTCCTTCTCACCACATATTCTTTTCTATTCACCTCTAATTTTGAAACCTTATTATCTCCATGTCTGTGAACATGGTCAATTCTTCTAAATAGGGATGTATCCAACACAAGCTTTTGGAATGTTGCATTTCCACTTAGTAGGGTTGCTAGCAAGGCTTTAGTGGCTCATTCCTCACATCTCTGTCCTGTTACTAGGTATCAAATTGCGAAGACCATCAGATCATTTACAAAAAATGTGTAGAATAAAACCGTGGTTGAGATATATTCTTAAGATATGTGTCTAAATCCCCTAGACTGCTTTGAAAATCAAATTCAAACTTCTATTGGAGGTAGCACATCTAATTGTTATTTTAACAGCATAAGCTGAAACAGTGATTTATTTAGGTAATTTCCAGAGAGTAAAAAGATACAAAGATTTCTTGAAGCTGCAGACCAAGGTGAATATTTTATCATACATTTTGGAAATAATTATACAAGTCAAAATAAAATAGGAGGGGATCGGTACTTTCCCTGGCTGGGAACATATTACAGGTTTAAAACCAGGGAAATGAGAGTCTTTGGGTCTCCTTGCAAATAAATCACTGGTTTGGCCTAGCTCTCTGGTACATTTATTAATGTTTTTAAATTGCTTACTGAAAGATCACTTAAAGGAGCTTAATTGCACTTGGTAATTTTCAGTTACATAAGTTTTCAGTGCTTGCTTTTAGTTCTATTAAAAATGGCACAGAAAGAGATTGGCAAAGAATAATATATCCAGTGAATTCAGGCTCTATTTTTGCCTTTGAACTATCTGTGAGTGGATTGTGATTTCCTCAAATTTATCAATATTTGATTATTTTAAAAGATTAACTCTGAAGGTTTATTGGGAGCAGTTCTCGCTGACTGTCTGGAATTAGTTGTGTTACTTGGTTATGATGGATTAGATAAGTCATTAGGTCACTGTATAAGCATTTTGTCACAGGTACTCACACTTGCACACTTAAAATTCAGTTTCTGTAAATACTCTTGGTTCTGACTTCAAAATTCTCCTCACAAATATTTGGGTCAATTACCTCAATAACCTGAAGGCTCATCCACTGTCTTGTGCTGCACAGGTTTTCAGTGGTGAGAATGGGAAGATGACTTGGGAATAATCTTCCTTTCTCCCCCACACACAAGTACAGCAAGGTAGGATCTATATATTAAGTAGTGTTCAGGAAATATTAGGAGGGTAGTGAAGCTTCCACACCAGCTGGCCTTCCATGGTCCCAAAGGGGTGTGGTCGGAACCCCAGACGACAACTAGTTTGTGAGATCTTGTCTGGAGAATAAACTACCCAGGGTAACAGGCTGCTCCTTTTCAAAGGAACAGTAAACTCTGCCTACCAGCATGTGGCCCCAGCTCTAAGCCACCAGGAAGTAAAAGACATGGTTAGCACCCCTTTGCTCCCATTCTCCTGCATCTCTGGGAAGATTTGCCTATTTGGGAAGTTGACCAATTAATCTCACCAGCAAATTCACATACTGTAGCTGGGGTTTTAAAAGGGACTAATTGATGTTTTGGCCAAGAATATCATTTGAAGTTCTAATACTTTGCAGGGAGGCTTATACTGAATCATTTAATTGGGTGCTTGGTTATCTAGGCCAGTGTTTCCCAAACTTGGGATGCCGCTTGTGTAGGGAAAGCCCCTGGC